ATAAAATATTATTATTAATAAATAATAATCATTAATAAAATCAAGGGGAAATTGTGTATATATACCCGTCAATATTTTTAAATTACTGAAGTGAAAGACTTCAGAAATGTTACTAAAAAGCGGTCTGTTTAAAGTTTGTCTTTAATTTCAAGAATTCTTTGTGCAAAGCAAAAGTTTATGGCTGAGGTGTTTTCTAATTTTTAGTGGAAATAGCAGAGCTTTCTTTGAACAGATAGTGTTGTAGCCCATGTTGCACATTTTTAGTAAACCGGGAGTACCTGAAAATTGAAGTAGATTAGAAAGTAAAAATGATAACTTGCCTGGATACCAATGTGAAGCCAAGTTCCCAGGCTTTGTTAGCCAGGCAGAGAGAAATCCACAGTTTGAAAAATGTGTTCCGTAGCAATAATCTTGCTTAGATGAAAGTCACTTGATTATTTTTTAAAAACCTGTGAAATGAGGACTTTTTTGTGCTGGTATTAAGTGGCATGGTTCCCCAGTCCATACTAATTTGCATCATTTGAGAATCCGGCCCTTCAATATTTAATTTACTGACTTTTATGTTGTGGTGAGACAAATGACTTTTTAATGACTACAGTAGACTTATTTGCATTATAAAATAAAACCTTTGTCTCTGCTGCCAGGGAGCTACTTACTTTATAGCATTTGTTGAGAAATATGTAGTAGGTACTAAAAATATTTAATTGACCTACTTTTTTTCTTTTCAGGGTTGTGTCCTTTGTTGAGACCTCATGGTTTAACTGGGAATAAAGATGAGTATAAGCAGTGATGAGGTTAACTTCCTGGTATATAGATACTTACAAGAGTCAGGTGAGTTTTTACATTTGTGGTTGTTAATGCATAATTTATTTGGTATTCATCTGCAACTGACTTTAGCAAACACAGACTCATTTAATTATTTTGCTAGTAGGCATGTGCTGCTGTCTGAACTGTTTCTTGGTGTTTCTTCTCAACAAGAAAATGAATTCCTGCCAAGTTACCTTCTGTAACTTAATCAGATTTAGTCACTTGGAGTCCTCATATGGCAGTCAACCAAATAAGGACTCACTTGATTGCTAGAAATGCGTTTTTCTGGAGATCAAATGACAGTGACACTTTTTTTTTTTTTATGGTGACACCATACTTGGAAAGAGGATGACCACCAAAATACTGCTTTTCTCTGTTCTGTCTTGAAGTGATGGTGCCTCTGCTAGCTGGTCTTGTGTGGTCAAATTCCTTGCCTGACTGTGACTGTGGAAGAGCAGAAGAAGTGGCAGCTGTGACCATATGACTTATATCATTTGAATCTAAATGAATAGATGCTTTTACAGGATTAACTCTTGGGTTCTCAAAAGTCTCCCTCCCCACAGGCCTCTTTCCTCGGAGGGATTTTGTCCTTTGGTGTCAGGCTAGCCAAAGTCTCCTGCTTCCTAGGAACAGGAGCAAAAGACAGTTAATACTGTCAAACTTGAAAAGAAACTTTTTTTTTTTCCCTGTCATATTTGTCCAAGCTGGCTGTGCCTGTAAAATACAAATATGGATGCAGTAGTGTTCCTTTGGACAGTGTATGTTTAACACTTCACAAACTCAGTTGGATCAGCAGTTGAGTTGGTGTTGTATGTTTGGGTTTCTAGATGCACCCGTATGGCTGCATGGCTTTTGTGGTGGTGGTTGTTCTCGAAGCTATAGAAGAGACACTGTTATCTTTTACTCACAGCTATGCTACTGATTGCTCCATGCAGCCTACATTTAGAACGGGCAGATCTGACCGGACATCAGGGCATAGCCCAGTAAATGAACAAGTGATGATTGTCACATGGCCTGAGGGAACATGATCTTAGCAATGCACAAAAGAAGTCTGCATATGAAAGCAAAAATAAAGTCCATTCTTAAGTTAATGTAAGGGATCCACTTCAATGTGTGTGTTACCTTTGTGTTTCAACATCCGCTGATTCTTAGCTCTGTTCAGTGGTTGCTGGTGGGTGGCTTCAGGCTTAATGAAAATGGATTTAAGTGATCTAGCCCCTAGCGTCTGCCCACTACTTTTGCTCATGGACTTCTGTAACTGAGACAAGGAAGCACCAGAAGCAGACGTGGATGGCAGAGCTTTTTAGTCTCTGCTTGTCAAAGAAAACAGAAACTCATTGTTCTGCCTGAATTCACTGACAACTATTGCACGTTATTATTCCAGTTGCAGACTGCTTTTGTCAAAGAAACCAAGCTTTTAGGATTGCTTCATCTTCATTTGGAAGGTTGCAGGCAGCTTCTTAAGTTACCTGCTGTGGGGTTAGGGGGAAGTGGGGGCGGCAGAAAAAGTAGTTTAAGGAAAAATGCCATGACTGTAAAGTTAATTTGCTGAAACAACTATTTTTCTCTAGGTTAAATTTGCCTTTTCAAGGTGACCAAATAAATAGCAAGCAACTACTAGTGCTGCACCATAACATACTTGCCACTTCTTAAACACCAAAACCCACAGTGCTATGACAGCACTGTAGCATGAAGTGAATTCTGTTCTATATACAGAGCGATTTCACTTTCATAGGTAACAAATCAGGGAGTAAAAATAAGTCAGTCTTGGTGTCTTGGAGATACCTATTTTATGAAGTACTAGATATGATACAATATATATAGTTTGAGAATATATGTGTGTGTGTAAATGTTACAGCAAATTGTACAATTTATAGTTTTATTTTTACTGATGCATAGATGTTTTGCCTTGTAAACGTTTCTATGTTTATATATAAACTTTCTTTTTCTGGTTTTGTACATGCAAACTAGAGACATGTGAGGGGAACAGCAGAGGTGTTTTGGGGAGATTGTTTGTCGTTCATAGGCATACTCTGACTTTGTCTCATTTGCTTAGGTTTGTAAACAGAAGATCCTACGGTGATACGGCAAGTAGCATTGTCTATCTATAAATCAATTCTGATGTCTTTGCCTTGTCTTTAGGGTTTTCCCATTCAGCATTTACCTTTGGTATAGAGAGCCATATCAGCCAGTCTAATATAAATGGTGCTCTGGTGCCACCAGCTGCTCTGATTTCCATCATCCAGAAAGGTCTGCAGTATGTAGAGGCAGAAGTCAGTATTAATGAGGTAAGGAGGCTTTGCCTGCAGGAGTGTTATGTCCTTGCTTGCAGTAAGTTTGAATGTTAGTACTTTTTCTTAACTTTCTTGTATCCTATTTATTTACTTTTACTTTAGATTCCTTACTGCTGGTGTTCACCATGACTCCAGTGGTGGAACCAGAATGGAGTGACATAACTGGGTAGGGGTTCTGCCCCGTGCAGCCACACAACACCAGGCATGGTGTTCTGGCTCATTGCTTCAAGGTCCGTTGTCTGTAGAGTTTTTACCGTAATGTAATGTTGTAGTAAATCCAGACAAGTGCAATAAGATAGTCACTGACACAGGGAACCTCTTAATTTTTATTTTTGTAGCCTTGCACGAGGGAGGTGGGAGAGCAGCTCTCATTTGGGTGATATGTTGTTATAGTGAAGTAATGAGAGCTCAAAGGCAAGGTTTCCAAGCAGAGAGAGGGTTTCCGTTTGTGGCAGGAAGGATGAAGGTGTATGCCAGTGTGCTTCTTGCCTCCGCTGGCTAATTCATCTTGAGCAGGATCTATTAAATTTGATGTTTAAATGGTTATTCCAGCAGTACAGAAAGCTATGTATCTTCCTGCCTGATGCTGCAGATACTCGCCCTCAATTTCCATTCCCATTTATGCCTGGAAGGTTCGCAGCCTCTGTCTGTGTCAGTTATATTACAGAAGGAAACAATTTTTTTTTCCACTAATTTTGCTGTCTTTCCAGTCTCCCTTATGTCTGCTGCATATGTGTAGTTTTTGTAGTCCCAGTGAAGCAAATCCTTTCCCTTAGGAAGCCTCAGAAAAATACAGCAAGTGATTGGAATAGAAGGAGACCCTGTATTTATTGCAAGGAATCCTTCTACCTCCTAAATATAGATCCTTACAAAGCCCTAGCATATGTATAAGGGTATTTTTAACTAGGTCTTGTCCATTTCAGGATAAAAATCTTCCTTGTTGTTTGAAAGCATGCCAGCACTGTTTAAAAAAAGGAAGAAAACTAGTCAACTCTCCAGATAATGTGCTTATGGAAAGTATTAGTCTAATAAGATAGAATAACTTCACAAGCCAGTGACCTGACTTGCAATGTTTGCAGCTCTTCAAACAAACCATTAGATTTTTCTGCAGCCACTCATGTTTGAAATCATATTCATAGCTAGCTTACAGAATTTTTTGCTGTAGCAGACGGTTTAGCAAACTTAAAGGATATAACTTTCCATTCCAGAAGCTCTGCCAGAGGCCTGTGCTGCTTTTTTTTCTTTTGCATATTTATGGTGGCCACTTAAATTTAGACTGAAATTCCAGTCCTGTCCACAACAACAATGAAAGATCAATTCCAGAACCATGTGTAAACTGTTTTATTATATTAAATCAAAACTTGGAATTTTTGACTACAATGTTAATTTGCACTTGGTGTTGTCTTTTTTTTTTTTTTTTTCTCTCCCTCTGCTGTAATTTAGGATGGTACCTTGTTTGATGGTAGGCCGATAGAGTCTCTCTCACTGATAGATGCAGTAATGCCTGATGTGGTACAGACAAGACAACAGGCCTACAGAGATAAACTTGCACAACAGCAGGCAGCAGCTGCTGCAGCTGCAGCCGCGACCAACCAACAGGGATCAGCGAAAAATGGAGAAAATACTGCAAATGGAGAAGAGAATGGAGCACATACTATAGCAAGTAAGTTGAGACCGAGATGACCTTAACCTATGTTCATGTCATTTGTCATAGCACAAGCTTGTAGTATGAGGTAGTAAATGCTGAAGGAATGGGTAGAGGTGCTAGTAACCCTTCAGCTTGCAGAGAGTACCTTTGTCATAGGTGACCCTTCAACAAATGGTGTCTCACTTTTGACTGCCCCCAGTTTGATAACTGGAATTGCAGGAAGAGGTGCAAACCTTGAATTCATACATTCACAATATTTCATTGACCAGTCTCACTACCAGTACTACTCCTTCCCATCATCTGAAGGTTTTTCACAGGACCCTCTGAGAGCTCTTGCATAAAGACACAAAAATAATAATAACAAAAAAATCAGACACAGCTCTTTAAATATTGTATTTCCTGTACAAGGAATAACGAGAGGACTCTACTACTCCACAGTGGGTTAAAACTGAGTGTGGCTTGTGAAGCTCCACAAACTACTTTTGACAGGTTCTGCTAACCCCATGAATCAGGGAGCTGTAACTGGCTCTCTGTAGAACAGACTTCCTTGTCAGGCTGAGATCATCATGGTTGCTGAGACAAATCCTGTCTCATTTGTCTAATTTATCAGTATCAGTTTTCGTGATTTGCTATTCAGGATTATTCAATGCAACTGCTTGTGGGTCTGGTTTATTCATTGCCTCCATTTTAGCTTGGATTGGTGAAACAGGTGGGTTTTATTTGCTATCGCTGGGCAAAAGAACATAGCTTACAATCAGGCTTAGTGTAGAAAAGTTCAGGTCAGGCATTAAAATGCAATTTTGCAAATATTGTTCTGAATTAGACATCTGAGAGAGGGACTTAGAACTGTTGCTGGAAAAGGAGCTGAAGAAAAGGCGTTGTTGAGAGAATATTCATATCAAGCCGTGTACAGGTTTGGCATTTTATATCTGGATTTTATTAGTCTTTTTATTATTATATATGATATAATCTTTGCCTTAAACAAATAAGCTCTCTACTTTGATGTTTTCATTTAAAAATCTCAAAAGAATATCTACTTGTTAACTGTGAACTGGATATAGAGCAAGCATAAACTTCAGAGCTCCGCCACCGTTAAATGTGATATACCAGCAGCCCCTACTGGCCAGTACACCAAATTATACTGGCATTGATTCTCTTTAATTGAAGCAGTGTTTTATATGGTGCTCTTTCTTCAAAATATGCGTGTTCTAATAGTCTTTTCTGTTTCCTAACACATAGAAACAGTGACAGAAACCTTTAATGTTAAATTAAGCAATAGATGTGAAACGGTTTGTTTAACCACAGCGAATAAATATGGTTCAGGTGAACTGTTCAGCATTCGTTTTTATATTCCACATTTACACTCCGTGTGAATTTATTTTTTAATAATATAAAATTATTAATGGTAGCTGCCAAGAAAACTGTTCTGTCAGTTCAATTACCCCCAGTATGTTGTATGGAACAATATGAATTCAACATCACTTCCACGCAGCAAGCTATGTATTGACACAGGTCCACAGTACTTGCTGATGCAGTTTCAAAAACTCTGTTATCAGTTTAGTGTATCACCAAATGTTATTAAATTAATTAAAGCCATTTTGTAAATGAAACGTCCAGGATGTAGATGTAAAACCTGTTTTACTGCAGTTGTTGAAAAGATTTTTTTTTTTAAAATGAATGTGTCATAGATGTATTTTTAAAGCACAAGATAAACTAGTAACGTATTGTACTGTGCAGTATCATGCCTGAAAAAATGTAAGTACTTTTAACATCAGCGTTCATTTATTAACGTAACAAAAAATTAACTTTTGTCCTCAATTTTGAAGTTTCAGAACTAAATCCACTTGGATGCTAAGGTTTAGAATGGCTAAGAGTGTTCTCACATTTTTGAAGCTTCCCATCTGTAATAGTACTTCACAAATTGGAACTGGAGAAATAAAGGAACATTACAGGCTTTGTCAAATTTTGATCCACTTAAACTGTTACTTAATTGTTATGCTCATCCAGAAGAGTATGAGCCATGCAGTAGTTAAAACGTATTGTCCCAAAATATTAAAATCTACCTCTCTGTACTGTTGTTTCCCATAATGCAGATAATCACACGGATATGATGGAAGTAGATGGAGATGTTGAAATCCCTCCCAACAAAGCAGTGGTGCTGCGTGGCCATGAATCTGAAGTATTCATCTGTGCCTGGAATCCCGTTAGTGACCTTCTGGCCTCAGGGTACGTGCATTAACCACGTGCACACACCACGTCACTGCTCAATGGCACACTTCTCTGTGCTGAGGGTCACAAGTTAAATAATATCTGCCCCAATGCCCTCTACATCAAACGCCATGTTTGCTGTTTTGAAAAGAATTTTTTTTTTTTTTTTTTTTTTTTGAAGTTCCACATGTGCATGCCATGAAACTAATTGGGAGAAGGAGTTAGGTTCTCATGAACTGTTTTGCAGATCTGGAGATTCGACAGCACGGATATGGAACCTCAGTGAAAACAGCACGAGCGGCTCTACGCAGCTGGTACTTCGTCACTGTATACGAGAAGGAGGGCAGGATGTACCCAGCAACAAAGATGTGACATCGCTGGATTGGAACGTAAGTGGAAATGGCAAAGCTCAGAGCACCCTGAGAAAATCCTGCCTGTAATGCTGCACAGTCAAATTTTAAGTGACAGCAGCCGTGCATCCACTACTACAGCTCCTGAAGTATTTCTATTTTTGACTTGTACTTCAGCGACTTCTTTTTAATAAGCGCTAGCCAATGAAATAAATATCTTAAATCTCATGCAGATGTGTCCTACCTGAAATTTGCTTTGTACTCTTTAGCTTGGAGTTATACAGTAAAAATAAACCAATGAAATAACCTTTCTGCTGGCAGAGTGAAGGTACGCTTCTAGCAACAGGGTCTTATGATGGCTTTGCGAGGATATGGACTAAAGATGGTAAGTGAAATACTTTCAATTTCCAGTATATTTTCCTGTATTGTGGCTCACAGCATAGTTTTTTATTTTTTTAATGTATTCATATCAATATAAATTTTCAGGTAATCTTGCCAGCACCTTAGGGCAACATAAAGGTCCTATATTTGCGTTAAAATGGAACAAGAAAGGAAACTTCATTTTAAGTGCAGGAGTGGACAAGGTGAGATAATCTTTGGTAAAATTAAAATTCTTTCCTTCACCATTATAATCTAATTGTAACCGTAATAGCAAAGCTATGGAAAGTAAGTAAATTACACTAAAGGCGTGGGACTTACATATGTACTTAGAAAGAACTCGTTATGCTAGTTGTTTTTCCCTGTGTTTTATAGGATTTTATTGGGGTATTGTAATTTATTACTTTCAGTGCCCGTGGATCTCTTCCCAGTTAAGTTAGTGTGAGTTGAAAGGTATGTGCGTTGAACGCAGGAACATCAAACCTTTGTAAAACTGAATAATCTAAAATTTAGTGAAGCACTTTATACAAAGCCTCAGGAAAAAAAAAGTCATATCAGAGGAATTAAGTTCAGGCTGAGAATGATTTAAAAAGTTAGAGCTGGAACATAAGAAAGTCAATATATCTGACTGGGGAGGGGCCAGTAGTGCAATGACATGAAGCTCATGTTTTAACTGTGTTTTGTTTCATATCTCTAAACAAAGAGTCACGAGGACTTTCATTTCAAAGCTGTTGTTACAGTGTGAGAGATTTTATAAATGGCAGGAAGAATAGACTTGAAGACTAGTTTAAAGAATAAAACAGACTTTTAAAGAGTAGGTTTAATTTTTCCTCTGTAACTGATTCAAGGTGCAGTAGTAAACACAAGCTTTCTCTTGGTGGGACTGGCAAACTGCAAGCTCAGTAAGACCACAGGCCCACAATACTTGAAACTGGCAGTGTCACTGTAAAGTAGTGGATTTCCTCCTTTATTTTTTTCCTGCATGCATTTAACTTGTTTTGCTTTAGTGCCCAGCTTTATAAATGCTTGTGCTGGCACAAAGGAAGGAAAAGTAAATGTCTCAAAAAAGCATCGAAAGGATGGGCTGCTACTTTTGGTAGCAGCAATGGCTTATGCCGGGTTTTAAATCTTTGTGGAGGTACAGCTTTAATTTACAGAAAAAAAAATTCTGGAGGACATAGAAGCCTCATTTCAGTCAGTAATATTCCTTGGACAAAGCAGCTGAGTTTATACTTTGAAATATATTTTACATCAGCAGAAAGATTGACCCAACCTTATGCTTCTTTTCCATAAATAATTTGGTCAGTTCATGCTTCCATTGAATTCAGTGTCAAAATTTTCATTGATCGTTGAGGTAGGTCAGGAATATTGGCATATAATGTAGTGATTATAAAATACTAATACTGTCATGTAAGTTTTCTTTCATCAGAAGGATATATCAGAAGTATTGGCAGAGAACAACCTGGAAAGAATTACACTCTTAAATCAAATTTTTCAGATTTTTAAATGCGAGAGTAATTGTTTATAGAAAGATCTCCTTAGGGACAGATGAGTATATGAAATTACAATTTGAATATACAAGTGTTTAAAATTAACATAGGCATGTGGAGTGGATTACAAGAATATAAGTAGAACTAAGGAGATAAATCTATTTAATTTTTGTTTTCAAAAAAAAGGCCCACAACCCCCTTTTTCCCTCCATACCCCAAAATGTGTGATTAAACACCTTTCTAATATTGCAGTGTATTAAAGTTTTCTACTGTTGCTTGTACATCTACTACCATTGCTTTAGTACTGGCTAAAACACTAGAAGTATCTAATAAGGAGCAGGTTTGGGCAGTGGGGAATAGGCTGGGTAGTCTGACGCAAGTGAGTTGTGGTAGTTGTGAGGAAATTGTGCTATTTTTACAAGAAGGAACATTGTATAAGTTTGTTTATTTATCTATTTAATACAGACCACAATTATTTGGGATGCCCATACTGGTGAAGCCAAGCAGCAGTTTCCTTTTCATTCGGGTAAGTCTTGATTTTGATCATTCAGGATTGTCACCTGAAAAAATGAAAAAAGTGTTATTTATTAAAGTAAGTTACGAAATATGAAATTTATGGTGCTTATGTACACCTTTTTAAAATCTTACAGGCAGACTTTTGGGTACTAACTCCCATAGTCTCAGTCTTACGAATTTGAGGATGTGAACAAAGCTGGAATGGTTCTGATTCTTCATAACTGACGATTTTATTGCGGTTCTAGGAAAAGCATAAGAGATAATCCAAATGTTACCAGCTTTCTATAGTACAATGGCAAATAAATCAAGTGGGTGGGCCATGAAGGATTTGTGTTTATCAGCTAGAGAATTCATTTGTCATCCGCCTGCTGCAGAACCCCCAGCTCTGCACCCCATTGTTCTGTGCTGACTGCTGTGCCGTCCCCAATTTGTTTGGCCACAGACCAGCAGAAAGGCTCTTCACTGGCCAGCTGGGGTGAGAGCGCAGCCTCTCAGGAGGCCAGACAAATTGCTTTGTGGGCTGCATGCTGTGCAAGTCTGCCAGAATCAGCTGGAAAATAGAATAGAGAGGATGACGAACGTGTCATTGAAGGGCCTTTAAGAAATGTGTCTCGTTTCCACTTTTTATTCCACTCGAACTGTGTTTTCAGTGGCATGACAACAGTCAAAAACATCAATTCTTGATTTACTCCAGGCAATTCTGTGTGCTAGCTGCCATAAATATCTTGGCTTGATCAAATGGAATATGTTGTCCATGATTAAGCTTCAAGTTACCACACCTTATAATGCTGGAATTAAGAAAGGAAATAAATCATTATCTTTCTCTGGCTGCCATCTATCAGCATAGGCATGGGCTGTTGGTGGAGATGAGCTCACGTGTGTCAATGTCTTAAGTTGTGGGAACTTGTTCCTCGTGATTTGTAGATTCATTTATGGATGACGTAACTACAGCTTGTTGTCCTGCTGCACTGTCTTCTGTATAACTATTTCATTTCAGATATGTTCTGTGTTTTAATGACTTCTGTTAAATTTTGTTTCATTTAGATTTCTGTAGATTTTGGCTGCATTTCTTGCTGTTCATAGTGTTTGCTTATCTTTAGAACTGCTGTAAAATTAATGGTGGCTTCCTGTGGGCATTTGTTCTAAGGTGGTGAACGCTGACTTTGCAAATCAAACTCCTGCAGAACACACACCAGAGGTTTAAATACTTTTCTTTTTCTTTTAGCACCAGCGTTAGATGTTGACTGGCAGAGTAACAACACGTTTGCATCTTGCAGTACAGACATGTGTATTCATGTCTGTAAACTAGGACAAGATAGGCCCATCAAAACCTTCCAGGGTCACACAGTAAGTACTGGAAAATTGGGGGCTACTGTATGATATTTTTATTAATGAGAGACTGGGGGCCCAGTATGCTTGCTAGCATACAGGCTTGTAGTCTTTGGCAACAGGCAATAGATTCAGAAGCACAGGTTGCTGTAGTTAAGGTCATGTGATAACTGTGTCCTCTGTCATTATTAGAACAATTTTCGCTCCCATGTGCAGGTTCTCTTTACCAGGATGACATAGCAAAAGTGAGCTTAAGAAGAAATGTGACAACTTTCAGACTTTGCTATGCACAGCCTATGTTGTGCAAGAGCATGTGTGGGAAACTGTGGTGAACAGGTAGCAAAAAACAGCAAAAAGTTGTTATTACTGAAGGGAAAACTAGGAAAGAAAACAAAATGTTGAAATAGTGATTATTGTACAAATACTCATAACTGCTGTCTGACTCCATCCTTCATAAGCTGTCATTTGTATTGGAAGTGAAGGCTCCAACTCGTTCTCACTGTTCAATTTCAGAATGAAGTGAATGCAATCAAATGGGATCCAACTGGTAATCTTCTGGCATCCTGCTCTGATGATATGACTCTAAAGGTAACTGTCCTGGCCCTGGCTCTTTTCTCTGTAGGACTGGGGAGTACACCCCATTGGCTCAGGCAGTCCAGAGGTATCACTGTACTTGCTGTGTCGTCTAATATTTGTTCTTTTTTAATAACAAGATCAGGCAATCCCAGCAAACCTTTGTTAATCAGAGCCAAGCTGTAGTCCAGAGAACTTGTTACAGGCTGCCACCCTGCGACTTGGAGCATGATTTATTAGGTGCTTTTAGCTGTTTACAGAATCAGGTCATTAATCATTAAGCTGTCACACTTGATGGTTGCTTTTGGTTAAAAGGAAGAGTTGGAATGCATGTTGTGTAACCCATACAAGGATGGGAGACTAACTTCTTCCCTGGTTTTCTTCTATCTTCCCCTGCTTTCTAGTTAAAGTCTTTCTCATATTCTTTCTTAAGAGACTGTGTAGTCCTTGGGTTTCCCAATTCATTAGGAGTCATTCTGCAGTTTTCAACTGCACTTATAAGCTTCCTCCAAATAATTCACATGCTTTCTAGTAGAACTATCTAGCAAACTTGCGAATGCAGACGATACAGGAACTTAATATACGGGACTTCAAGGCAGACTAGAAATCCAAAGAAAATTACTGCCAGGTTAGCCATACTAGAAGCAGCGAGGTTGTCCGTGCCTGACAGGCCTGTGTTGTTTCCTTGCTTTCCCAATACTGCTTTGTATTTAGTGAGTATTTTAGCATTGTTTGCTAGAGTTTCAGGATACGTTTTTTCACATTGACAACACTGTCCTACTAGTAGCCCTCGGGACAGTTATTTCCGTGTAAGTTGTTTAATCAGAGGCAGGGAATGCCTGAGTGAGTAGCCAGACGTCCCCTCCTGTGCTGGTACACAGCCAGGCTCTTGCAGTGGAAGTCACCTTTTCTAAATAGAAACATTTAAGCATTCAGCTTCCTTTCTAAAGCTAAATGTCTAGACATCTTTAGTCAACAGAGCACCTAGCACCACTGAAGAAAAATTCATCCTTTCCTACGTTCATAGAATCATAGAATCATTTA